AATTCTATTATATAACGATCCTACACCTAGCGGAACCACAGCAAACCCAGCTATTCAGCCATCGGTCTATATCACACTATATATAGCGTAGACGAATGTACCTCTAGATATTTCATATATCCGGAAATTTAGATCTATCGCATAGATTCATCTTTATAGCTCCGAGAAGCCTATAGGCAAGCTTAATACTCGTACCAAGAAAGTACACTTAGTAAGCTACGTCTCGCCGACTATTATCAAAGTTTAGGACCCTAAGAAGAACATCGTTAAGACGGTTAATAATACCGTTATTAATAAGAGCTTTCAAGCTCCTATCTCATTTCCTATACTAAATCAGGTTAAACCAGCGGATCAAGCTAGTCTACCGCCTAAGAGTGTCGTTTAACAGAATATATACGATACTCCTAAGCGTATAACGAAACAAGATCTCCCCGTACGACCTATAAAAGCATTCGTATCTTTCCAGATCGATACTAACCATAACTAATCAACTCTAAATCGTTTAAAGTAGCTACTTAAGGGCCAGAGTCTGCCTAATAGCATACAGCTATATAAACGGAGGTTGATATCTTAAACCAAAAGAATTATTAGGATCTTGTCCGAAGCTCTAATATACTACCAAGTACTAGAGCTATTCTAGGATAATAGGTTAACAAAAAGAAACTAAACGACGACGGATCGATCAAGTTTAAAGCTCGATAGGTAATCAGGGGGAACATACTCTCAGACACGTACTTTAAGCAAGACTATAATATATACGCCCTAGTAGTATCTCAAACAACCTTACGTATCCTATTCGCGGCCGCTGCTTACTACGGCTAGACGATCCTCTAGGCAGATACTATTCTAGTATTTATAAACAGGAAACTACGTGATACAGTCTATATAAGATAGCTATACGGCTTCGAATAATATAGACGAGATACCTTAGTCTATAAGCTAAAACACTCTCTATACGGCCTATCACCGTCTTTCCGAATTTAGTACGACACTCTTAAGAGCCATCTTAAAGAAATCGGCTTCCGAGTATCACTATATAACCCTAGTGTATTCATCTCAACAGAACGACCTTATCTTTATTTAACAAGTCACGTCGATAACTTCAAGATCGTTAGTAAGGAGACCGATACTAGTAGCGTACTCGACGCTATAAAGGCTAGACTGAAAATCAAAGATCTAGGCCTAATCAAGTATTACCTTAGCATAACTATCGACATAACCGATAAAGGCATTAAAATCACACAGTCTCGATACATTAATAACCTTCTTGAATTATTTAGTATAGCCGATACTTATGTAGCAAAATCACTACTAGATCCTAGTATCGTAATCGATAACTAACCTAATCCTAATATTCCTATTAAAGAATACTAGCGAGGTACCGGAAGCTTGTAGTATCTAGCTACGAAGTCTAGGCCTAATATCTGCTGGTATACCTATCTACTTACTAAACACAATACTAAGCCTACTAAGAAGTACTAGGCAGTATTAAAATATATCCTTCGATACCTTAAGGGCACTAGAGACGTTAGCCCGATATATATTCGTGCTATAGATAATACACCTCTCGAAACCCCTACGGCTTTTACCGATTCTGACTAGGGTGGCCTATATACTAACTGCTGACGATCGGTTAGTGGTTATATCTTTATACTTACTGGTTCACCGATATCGTAGAGCTCCAAAACTCAAACCTATATTGCTACAAGCTCCAACGAAGCCGAATATATCGCTGCATCAGAAGCATCTCGAGAAGCCTAGTGGATAAGCAAAATTATAGAAGATATACGATTACTTCCTTCCCCTACCCCTCCGATCAATCTTCATATAGATAATAAGGGCGCTATCGACCTTACTACGGCTATTAACGGTACTAAGCGATCTAAGTACATCGAGATTCGCTACTACTACACTCAAGATCTCATATAGTAAGGCCTCATCAATATACGCTAGATATCTATATATAAGATAAAGGCGGACGGCCTCACTAAGCTACTCAATAGCGACAATCACTTTCGATTTCTTTAATAGATTGGATCTAAAAAGTCTTGATTAGGCTTTCCTCTTATTTTGATTTGATTTGACTTCAATTCTCTGGTTAACTCAACCTATTATATATCACTCTTTTCATGTATTTAGTCCTACTTAGTTAGCTGACTCGCTCGCTCGAGGGGGGGGTGTTAGAGCACTAGTCCATACTGGGTCATGTGCCCTAGGTCGACCGTGCTTAGTCAGCATAGTAGTAGATTAGTCGTGGGCCGCACCCGCACCCACGTATAACTACACAGACTTATGCCTGCTGACATTTGAAGGAGCATCTCTATGTTTCCGACATGGAAGGCGAACGTGGGCGGGACTGTAGTATTCCTGCTCACCGGAAAGAGGTGAGTGAATCCCGGATAGGTCTGGTCCGTCTCATGACCAAGCTAGGACTAGGACGACCGTTATAGGATGGGTGTAGTACAAAGAGGGGATTCATATAACGTAGCCCCTCTTGTCTGGCTCTTGCTCTCTGGTCGGGACTCTTAGGTCTAAGTTCCTCTCAAGAGGATTCTCTTAAGAGGATTAACCTCTTAGAATAGCGGTTTTATTCCGGGGTTTTCATGTACCTTAGTTTTCTAAGAGAATCTACCCAAGAGTACTCTTCCATCTACGTCTTCCTACAACTCTGCCTATAAGAAGTACTGCATAGCCCGAAGATAAACACAAGACGTACTACTCATCTCATCAAGCCTTCCAAGACCTTTCTCCCGGGGTTACACCGCTTATATCTACAATGACCTCTTGTTCCGGGCTACATAGTACCCATATCGGCTCAAAATGGACCTTATGATCTTCTAGGCTTCACAGAACGACTAGGCGTGACCGAATCTGTTTCCTCTTCTAATCTATCCAGAGCTCGGGAAGCCATTGTTACAAGCTGCCTCTCCTTAGCGAGTCGGCGTACAGCGACAAGTTCCCCTTCTTCATGCCCAGAAATCATAAATATAGCATTCCTGCCATCGATGATAGCCGCACGGAAGCACTAGGCTAGTCTGACATTTTGATTATTAATAAGAATATTTAAAAAATTATATAAATAATAAATTATAAATATAAAAAAATCCATATTTTAGTTTTCTAAATTTTAGGATGGGGACCAAAACCCATAATTTGCTTAGACTTGCTCTCCATGACCACTGCTACTACTGCTCTGGGCCTCCATCTCCTTCAGGATCCGCTCATAATTCATCCAAATCCGGCGCCGGTTCCTTAGCCCCTTGAATTCAAGGTTCTCGCCATCTGGCTCCCGCCCTGGAGACGCATAAAATTCCTCTAGAAAGCGCAGAAGCCGGTTAAACTAGATTTTACCATTCGCTGTTCTACCGCCTTGGGCTGTTGGTATTTGCGATAGAATAATATCCGCACACCACGGCACGTCAAAGGAGAGACGGGACTTCTAGAAGCTAGACGGGAGGTGCTCTACATAACGGCGAAAGTCAGGGCTGGCGAGGAAGAGATTGAGCACGGATGAAGTCGGGAGGAGTTCCAGGATGCTCAGTTGGAGTTCGCGCGGGAGTAATGAGAGGACGTTGACGTTAGGCTCGGGATGCTAGAGAGCCGGTACACTTGCCTGCACGAGCTTGACGCTGCAGGTGAAGGAATAACCAGGCTGAGTACTTGTCGATGCACGGTGGAGCAGGGGTTGGCAATTGAATGGACCTTTAGGATCTATTACAGTCCACTAAGATGTAGTTGAGTTAGACAGCTCTCTTAAGCACACTGGAGCCCGTAGCAGTTTCATCTAATGGAAGGACCCACTATTGACCCCTTCACCGGAATCCACTCCTGCCAGGAAGGATTAAACCTCTTGCCATGCCAGCGTGTACTAGCGTCCTGGAATGCGTCCCCGAACCCCCAATCGACTAGGTTATTGTTGCGATCGTCCAGACCGCGCTCCAACCAAACCCATAACTGCTCCAGATCAAGATGAGGACTTAAACCAGAAGTGGCCTGTAGGTGTTGGTGCACGCGCTCCAACATCTGGAAGCACGTATCGTGTACTAAGTACCCGTCGACGTTGCAGCATAACTAATTGCCATCTTCGGGGTAGTGGAATGTGCCGTCGTCGATATTAACATGTACGGCCTAGGTCGCACCCGAGTTAGAAAGCTAGCGTACGTATAGTGGTGATGTCAGATGATTCCCACCCCATCTAAAAAAATCGGGAGTCCTTACCAGCGGAGTCAACAGGGGCACCTGCCCGTCTGTCACTGTGAACTTAACCGTGTCCACAATCTTCTTCGTGACGAGCCGCACCGTATTAAGCTACCTGATATGCCTCGGTGGAAGCAACCTCGCATCGTATCCTAGGTTCTCCTGGTGGGGCATGAAATCCGGGTATCGATAGTCTCTATAGTCGAAATCGTCTTCTTCTGGGGCGAGGTGTTGGAGGGTGCTGTCTGCCAGCAACCCGCACTATATAGGGGGTGCGCCGCAGATGTGGCAGAAGAATGGAAACTCTGGCCCCTCCCTGTATATTATTATTGTTTTGCTCAGTTCCGTGGGGGGGGGTAAATGTGTAGAGAGAGAAGGGGGAGTAGCCCGGATTTAGGAACTTATAGCGTGGCTGTTCGGGTGTCCTTAGTCACCGGACGCTAGCTCTTTAATTATACAGGGGATTCATTATTGGTTATGCGCTGACTTTAGTAAAACACTAGCTCGGCAAGGGAATATTGCCACTATCGCCCTACCATATTGGATTAGGATGCTATCGTTATATTAAAGTCAATAGTCCCCTCATCCTTTGTATTCTAATGTTGTATATATATGTATACTATAGCATCGCCTAATCCGGATAGATTATCATACGATATAAAAAAAGCATGAAGCAGCACAGGATGAGCTTAGATTATCTCTACCCCCAATCCCACAGCAGCGTTGAAACCCTATAATGACACACCCACACAAACCGCATACCCGATAGCGAGCGTTTAGCAGTCGTCTCCAATCGCCGGATTCTACGCATATAGCTGCGCAAACGTCACGTCGTATGTGGACTCAATCGCCGCGCACGAGTCGCCTGCTTCGACTGTGTGGTATTTGGTACAGTCTGCCGCGATCCCCGTTTATATAGGGGCGCCCGGGGCCGTTGTGGTGGCGGTGGACGTGGGACCATCTACGCAATAGGCGTAGCCGAGCCACAGATTCGAGCAGTCGCTTCCGACTATGAAGGGATTATGTTAGCCCTGGATATATATGTACGAGGAGAATGCCCCGGCCGGGATCGATTGGCTTACCACTGGGATTCCAAGCGTAGAACTGGGTAAACGTGATACCGAATTCATTTTCAATCGTGTCACAACCATCCCCATCGGCTACGGTGTAGAACTCGTTGCACCCCGCGACCGTATCCGTCTGGGTTGGTCCCACACTAGACGAGGTTGTGGTTGTGGCAGTTGCTGTGGTGGTTGCGGTTGGGGTAGGGGAGCTGGACGGGCCGACACCAATGCAGATGGCGCGGGTATCGTAGGTCGACAGGTTCTGGAAGAGCGCGGCGTCGCAACCGGATCCCATCCACGAGTTCTACGCTAGCAGCTCGGCCAACGTAACGTGGTAGTCGCTTTCGAGTGTGCTGCAGCCGAAGCCTTGACATGGGTAGCGGGTTAGTCCAATGTCGGCAAGTCAGGGGTTGTGGAGGTAAGGAGCTTGTCCTGGTCCGGGAGGGTCAAACTCACCATACGTGCTGTTCTGGTAGCCTCGAATGCGTATGAAGCAGTTGCACGTCGATATCGTTCCCGCCTCTGTGGCGTTTAGGTCGAGGCAATAGCTAGAATCGGTGCCAGTGGCTACAGATGGTAAACGTTGAGTGCCCACATAGTCTCGTTATTTGGTTAGGGGGAGGCGCAACCTACATGAATCACCCCCATTCCCCACACAATAGCTGTACCCTGCTTGCAGGATGCAGTCCGTCGACGGAAGACTCGGGTTCCAGTCGAGGAAGTCGCTTAGGTTAATCGCTTCAGCAAACGCAACGTAACTGCAGTTGTTGCGATCGCTGGCGCTGTCGTAGTTACGATAATCGGTGTAGTTGCTAAGCGTGCCAGACGCTGTGGGCATCACGGAGCGCGTAGCTACGTATCCCGTGGTGGGCGTCGACATCGTTACGGTGACCGACGGGAACGTGGCGGAAGTGATGGAGATCCAGGGGGTGGTCACCGGATACCCCGAGTAGGAGGTGATGGTTCCTACGGGGGCGACGCAGTAGGCTTCGCCGAGCCATAGGTTAGTGCAGTTGGCGTCAATCTCTAGGTTCAGGAAGTAGAAGTCTTCGAGGGAGAGAGAGAACTGCAGGGAGATCAGGGAGTATTAGTCCCCTTCCACGACCTAAAGAGAGCGGAGTCAGGATAGAGGGGCTGCCGGTAGTTATCATCCAGGGGGTAGCTTACAGTATACCAGTATCTACAGTCTGTATTCGAGCCGTTCATGGCATTTATGGGAACGGGCAGTGCCGTCGTCGCACTACGGGCGGATCCGGGGGAGTTGGCAGTGTCTGTCGTCGAGGAATTCAGATAGCCACTAGGTGGACTAGACATTGACCGTCAGCTTCTTATGTGTCTCAGAAACTATGTGGCTTGCTTCCCATAAATACAACATACCTTACACACACTACGTAGTTAACAAAGTTCACGCTATTCTGATAAAGGGAGTTGAAGTTGGGATTCCACGCCAGGAACTGCGGCACCGTCACCCTATCCAGAGTGCTGACGACTGACTCGCAAGAGTCTGATGCCTGCCAAACGCGCGTCTCACATCCTAGCGGCACATAAAGGGTCGAGTTAACCGCGGATGCGAAGTTCTGGCAGTAGAGATCTAGGTCATTAGTGTAGAGCAGATCGTAGGTCGACACCCCGAGACTGAGTGCGACGGAATGGCACCCGTCCCCTTCTTACACGGTGTACGAGCCGGTACAGCTGGTTACTGGTGTCGTGGTGGTTGGCGCTTTTGTAGTCGTCGCGGTCGCGTTCATGGCGTATGACGTGGGGGATGTCGTCGGGTATTTCCCCGTGGCGTTATAGCTCGACGTTAAGGACGCAAATTGACTCGCGAGGTTAGCATCGTAGCCCAGCGGGTTATTGAGCTGGGCCGCCTGTCTACCCAGCCAGCAATCGGAACATGCCTAGGTCGAGTTCAGGAAAGATTGCTGCGACTAAACGAGGACTTGGGGATCACAGAATTCACCCGTTGAGCTATTGATATATGAGCACTTACGGCCTTCTCTTTCTAGCACAAACACTGGACCTGTCTTTGCGGCAGGAGACGTTATAAGTATAGAGGTAGTTGTCGATAATAAATGTTGCTATGCCTTTTCGTCAGCATATACCCTATATAAAATTCCGTGGAAGATGACCTCCAATCTATCAATACCAATATACGTACCGGGGTATACGATATTGTTATGCACGATAACGTCTGAGCTTGCCGTACAAGCCTCCTGGATCGTGTCGCGAGCGTTATCCAGGGAGGTATAGCACGAGTCTACGCAGAGCTCTGTCACTAGGTCGGAGTCCAAAATCTCTCTACTGCCAAGGTGTAAGAAAGGCTTATGTTCACCAAGAGCTTTATATCATGACAGATGGCCTACCTGGCTGAAACCGGGTTCAGGAACGGGGGACAGCTGACGGTAGTGTTCAAGGCAGTCAGGCACGCCTCACTCAGACCCGGATAGTTAATATATGACGGGGCATCGGAAAGTTGTTGGTAGTGGCCAGAGACCGCGAAAAGCAACCCTAAGGCCGTAGAGATATATCGTATACGCGAGGTGGGCATATTGAAACTCATGGGCGACCGAGAGTCCTCGTAGAGGGTTGGTAGCGACCGAAGGGGTGGAATATATAGGCGGACCCGTCGTTTCCAATTCAAACAATTAGCCAATGACACACTAGGAAAGCCAGAGGCGCCTTTTAGTCTAATGCAGTATCCGTCCGATAAGATTTTGCGCGATGGAAGTCCCTTATATGGATCGAGGGACGAGACGGGGTCTGCCGTCGATACTCCGGCCCTCTACCCTTTAACCAGGATTCTAGACCGGGAAGAGATAAAATGAGCACTAAAGAAACCGACCAGTAGCGTATAGTCCAACAGTTTGGAGATCTCGCCTTGAACAGTTCCGGCGCGGCATCGAATTCCGGGTGTGCCCGGACCTTTAGCCCTGCATAGGTTCGTTTTAGTTATATTAATCGCCCCTACGAGGCCACACAGGTGTATTGTCTCAATGGCTAAGCTTAGTCTAAGTTATATAATAAGGCTTATTCGAAAGAGAGTTACCGGGAAGCGAGATTGCATAGTTGCAGACTGAACGAGGCTAAATCTACCGGCAGGGAATGGTCCGTGTTTTGCCACTAGTAACAAGATATCACTGGGAGAAAAAAGCCGAGCTGGCTAGTAGCATCAGCCCCATAGAGAGCGAACTGTTAGTGTTTCAAGACCCGCAAACTCCAAGGTATGCAGGAGGCCTGTCGGAGATTGTCGTGCACCCGGCCGCCGTCACTAAAGAGATAACCTCGGACTCGGAAGCATCGCACGCACACAGACCGGATTAACGTGCCCCGTGCTTGGGTAGGTACTTGGTAAATGGCACATATAATCCGTCGATTTCCTCTCGACTCTGTGTCTGATAGCAGCAGAGGCAATCCAATCTGCACTCGGTAATCATGGCCGAGACACCACCCAAGCAACGACCCCGTAGTGGCACGCTATGGGCTTTTTTCACTCTGCTACTCCTCCTGTTCGCGTATAGCTGGTCTGGACCCTCTGTACCTGCCGCAGTCAGAGTGACTCGCTAATACAGTGGCGTCTACGAGCGGGACAGCCCCCCTGCCGGTAACAGGACTCTCGTCTACTAGGACGATTACTCGTGCTCGGCGGAGAAACCCTGTAGCAACGGAGCGTGCTGTAGTGGCAGCGGGTATTGTGGCTATGGCCCGACCTACTGCGGCATAGGTTATATCTCGAACTGCGATGCTACGGCCGAGTGCGGCGAGTTCGCGAAGACTCCGGGCCAGGCTTATCCTTTGAATGTTTGCTACAGCGAGTACGGCTTCGTGAGTGGCCTTCCTACCCCAGTGCCGGGCCGGAATGGCAGATGATAGGGGGACCCCGGGCCTTTATTGGATACGGTGCTAATGGGGGGATGGTAGTGTAGTACAACCGATGAATTCTGCAACGGTGCGTAAAGCCGAATTACCCCTGTTTAAAGCCAAGCCTAGACTGACTGTAGCTAGACGACTGCCAGAGTAACTGCGACCTACACCCGGACCCTCCTGCAGGTTCTGCCTCTGCGGGGGTGCTCGAGAACAAAGTGATTGGGTACTACGAATCCTGGTCCGCGCGCAAGGACTGCCACAAAGTATCTCCCATGGATTTGCTATTGGATGCGCTAACCCAGTACGTATTTCCGTCCTCTAAGAGCAAAGCTACCCCGCGTACTGATACCCTCCTAGTGTTAACTTCGCTTTTGCCTATATCGAACCGGAATCATACAAGGTCGTGACCATGGACTAAGCAACCCCGGCTAGTCTGTTCGAAGATACGACGAGTGTGAAGGCTGTCAAGGAACAAATCAAGATCTTTGTGAGCATCGGTGGCTGGTATGTATATCTAACATGGGGAAGGATTTGGGCTGAATGCGGGCAAGGACATTCTCCGATAATGACACATCAACGCAGCCACTCTTTGGCGAGATTGCGGCTGACCCTATAAAACGGACGACTTTCGCGAACAACGTAGTGCACTTTATGAAGCAGTATGGTGTGTAGTCGGGTCTGCACTTTGAACGCACCCCATCGAAAGGGACAATTCTATGGAATTAGCCGTGTCTAACAGCTTTTCTAGGATTCGACGGCGTGGACCTGGATTGGGAGTATCCGGGAGCTCCTGATAGAGGCGGGAACCCCGAGGACACTGAAAATTACGTGTTACTTTTAAAGACGCTCCGCGAGGTGTTTGATGCCAGCGGCGGTGACTACGGCATTACATTTACAGCACCCTCGTCGTACTGGTATCTGCGTTGGTTCGACCTTCCTAGCATGGTTAAACATGTTGACTGGATTAATCTCATGACATATAACCTACACGGTGTCTGGGACTCCACTAATCCCATTGGCAGCATTGTACAAGCACACACCAACCTGACTGAGATTAAACTAGCAAATGAACTCTTCTGGCGGGTTGGTATCCCGCCGGCAAAACTAGTAATGGGATTTGGGTTCTATGGCCGGTCGTTTACACTCGCAAACCCAGACTGCACGAAACCCGGATGCCCATTCAGCGGCGCATCGAGCCCAGGACCCTGTTCCGCGACCGGTGGCATCCTCACGTACTACGAGATCATAGCCGCGCTGAAAGACGGGTCCGCGTCCAAGTCCAAACGAGCCGCCATCACGCCCGTCCATGACAAGGACGACGCCGTCAAGTACTTCATCTTTGACGACGACCAGTGGATCTCGTACGACGACGAGACGACCTTCAAGCAGAAGGTCGACTGGGCTAACAGTGTGGGACTGGGTGGCGCGATGATCTAGGCATCGGACCAGGATACGGACAAATACGATGGGCACGCGGCATTGATCCAGCGAGACATCATAACCAACCCGACACTCCAGAACATCGAGAAGGCCCTGTCGAACCCCAGCGCCGTGATCGATAACATTGGCGCCTTCAACGGTCAGAAGTGCTTCCAGTATAATGGGGACTGCATCGACCTAGATGATAACTCGGCCATGGCCGACGCCTACGGGGCCGGATTTACGGTCGTTGGGTAGGACGATGCCGGGTGTGGGAAGTCCAGTTATGTAAGTTGCTCTGCCCGATGGCCCATCCGGCCGAAGATGCCCGTGGATGAATCTGACAGTCATAGTCACGATATAGCACTGCGGAAAGCCCGTATGCTGTCCCACCAGCAGCGCCCCCAAGAACTACATCTGGCGCGGCGACGACAACGGAGGCGGTACCGGCGCGGACTGCAGTGCCCAGTGCAGAGCGGGTGAGATCAATGTCAAGGGCATCCGATCATCATAGGGTAGTGGCTTCTTAAACGATAGCGATACCGACAAATGCGGCAGAGGGTATAAGGTGTTCTGCTGCCCCGATCCGGACTATGCGCAGCTGACCAAGGGATGCTCTTACGCGGACTGGTACGGATCCCCCTCTTCTAACTCTTCTGAACTGTGCCATGTGGTCATTCCCACGGAGATAACAGGCTAATATTCTCTATGTAGTAGAGATGACTACCCGTCCGGCTCGACGAGCGTGTTCAAGAAATACGACAAATGCTGGTCCACGGGCTAAAACTACTGCTGTCCCACTCTAGTGTCACTATCCGATTACCATTAGGAAGCCGGTAGCGGCGGCGGAGACTGTGCCAATGCTAATTATGGCGAGACGGAAGTCGAGGTTGACCGATCCACGTATAGAGACAAGGGGACAGGGTATGATTGTATGTAACCCTAATTCCCCTACCGAGTTTTACTTTATTTAGTGGTTGGCAAGACACCCATACTCACTGACATAGACCGCCACAGGGGGCCGTCAACAGGCCATATGCTGCACAGTGACGAAGGCTCCGATCAAATCAGCCACCTGCAGCGTCGACCTGTGCACCAAAACCCTAGGCTACTGTCCAGCCACCGAGAACGACGGGGGTTCTAGCTCAAGCGCTACGAGCAAGCGAGATCTCACCCTCCTTTCTACCCATGGGCATACAGCAGCCCACACGTCCCTACAGCCGCGCGCTGGTAGCAAAACATATTACATTAAAAACTTCCGACTGATATCCATGGCCTACCCAAGCTCGCTGGCACTGCTAGCCTTCCCACCAATCCTACAGGTTCTACGGGAATGGTTCCGGATAGACCAAGGGCCGTATCTAGGCCGCAATATCGAGTACGGATACTTCTCGACCCACGGCGGCTCCCCCAACATAACAGGCCTAGAAGTCGAGCACCCGATCGACCGCCAGGTGCTGGTGTCATTCTTCAACACGGTGAACACCCAGCTCCTCCCGTCCGGTCAATTCTCGCGATTTACGGCCATCGATGGCGATACACTACGCAGTGTGCTACACGCCGAGAACGAGGCCCTAGCCGCACGACCGCCTGTCCAAGTCAATCCGGATGGAGTTCCCGTCGGTGTTCAGCCCGACAGCGCGAATGACCGGCTCTTTGAAGCGCTCGGCTTAAACGACTATCCCTACCCGTTTTCGCTACTCGAGAAGCAGGTCAACGCGGCTAAGGGCCGTCTTATGGGAGGCAAGGCGGCCACGGCTGTAGAGACGGTGCGCACGGACGCAAAAAAGGCACTCGAATCTGGAGAGGACATAGACATCAATAAAATGCTGCAGGATGTTAGAATAGTATGAACTCCCCTCCCTCCCCCAGTAGACCCGTATCCTTGCCAGACCCGACCACTACCTCAGCCGTGTCTCATGCTGACCAACTCCTTATAACAGGGCATCTCAATATTCGACTATCTAAACGAGGCAGAAGTAAGTGAGCGGTTTAACGCCGTACGGCACTAGGTGCGGCTGCAGGCGGGGTACGTCGAACAAGACGTCCCCCAGCTCCCGGATCTCGCCGCCCGATGGGAGGAGTTTTTTAACGACTTTATGCAGACACGGCAGGAGGAGGCCTAGGTCTGGCTGCGGGATGCTGTCACCGCGGCCCTGGACCCGTAGGTCTAAGCGTACGAAAATAGTAAGGTCGACCTGTTTTAGTATGGCATGGTTGTTACTACCCTCGAAGGCTTCTTGGACTTGATTGATACTATGGTCTTTCCTGCGGATACCCAGCCCTCGATGCAACTTCTGGATCCAAATGATGGGTTTTAAATACTTGTGTTGGTTTACATAGCAGTAATTCCATTCGAGTGTTTTTACCATGTACCTAGCTATCCATATATATACCCCTTGCATAGAGACAGCGCTTTGGCTCACGTGTGTCTAGGTAAAGAAATGACCGATTTGAAAGAGATAAGAAAGGGTTTCCTAGGCCTGTACATATTTAACGAAAGTATGATAATATAAAAAATAAGGATGGTCTGTCTTTGACCACACTCTGCTTAACTTGACAAGCTGCTTATACAACTAAATGTCCCTATTTGTCCCCCGATAACATTTCCTACGAACATCTCCAGTCCCTCTTCTTAATTGTTCATATAACAACCCGCAGACCAGATCCACCTAATTGGCGAATTCGAACAGGTACTGATAGAATAGGTCCAAGAGCCCGTGCAGCCCGCACCATTGTAAAACTTGCATATAGTAGTACCGGGAGCCTATGCTGACGCTAGGTCGGCGAAGAAGTTGAAGCATAGGCCCTCAGCCCAATTAACCCCCTCCAGCCAGCTATAGGTCGTGCAGTCATCGCTACAGTAACAGGGCTTGCCGAATACCTCGCCTTAGGTTGCCCGTGCCTCGACTTCGGTCGGTGCGGCGAATGTGGTGGTGGCTAGTACGGCACATACGCTGGCAAGGTAGGTGAGCTTTATGTTGATTCTAGCCAAGTATTAGAAAGGACTTCCTGGTTGGCTAGGGGGAGGGAAAAATAGGTACGCTATTGCTCGGATTGAAAAATCTAAGCTCTAAGTAGGATGAGGAAAAATCTTGCACTTTTACCGGCCTATTTAGCCTCTCTTCCGTCTTCATAACTGAATCTATCACTTATTAATTAAGCTTAGTTAAGACTTTATGCAGCGCCCAGCTCGTAATCAACAACTTTTTCATTATCTTATTTACTAGGTCCAGGTACTCTGTTCTTCCTATCGTTTTTCTACTCCCTCGATGATACGGCAAGAGTCGGTTTACTATATCACACCATTTGTATCGCCAAGAATTTCTAGTTACCTAAGGCAGCATGCAACTTCACTAAAGCCCTAAGAAAATTATACTAGAAAATCTTTAGAAAACCTGTAATATTACTAAATTATAATAAATAGTTAAATAGATTATTTAGAAGTAAAAGGATTACTATTTCTAGACTTAAAAAGAATAGGAGTATTAAGTTTATTATACTTTTTTAAGAAAGTTTTAATCTTCTCCTAATTATACTAAAAATAAATAATTATACTAGATAGCTTTTAATATACTCTATAAGTAGTAATATAGTCCCTATCTCTTACTAGAACCTAAATATTATCTAAAAAGGTTTTTATCTAGTAATTTTAGTATATTTCTCTTTTCTAGGAAAAAGAAAGATTAGTTTTTATAGATATTCTACTATTTTTTACTAGAATCTTAATAGTTTTAGCAAAAGTAATAGACTTAGGAGGAATCGTAATAGATTTACTAGGAATAGCTATCTTAATAAAGATAGTAACTATAATAGGTTTCTTTATAGTAATAATAATATAATAAAAACTACTAGAAAGAATTATATTAATAGGAATCTAATTATTAATAACAGCCATTCTAGAGTAAGATAGTTTAATATATTTAGAGATAGGCTAGAGTATATATTAATAAGTTAGGGTCTCTTTAATTAAAACCTAGTATTTAGGAAAAAGTATATCTAGCTTAGATTTATCTAGGATATATTTCTTAAGAGTCTTAATTATTTTAGTAAAAGATAAAGCCTTTATAACTAGCTTGGTAATTATAAATTTACTCTTTTTAGTAGTATAAATAAAAAAGTATCCTAGGTTTTATTCTTTTAAGGGTTCTAGGATAAAATTAGGAAGAATTATATCTATTCTAAAAAAATACTTCTAAATATCTATATTCTAGTTATAGTTAGTATAAGCTCTTTTAAAAAAAAGAATATTACTAGTAACTAGAGTTATATAGGTCTTAAAAAGATTATATAGATTACTATAGGGAATATAAATATTAGAACTAATAATAATATAGCTAACTTATTAAATATAAACTAAGTAAGATTAGCTAATATTTTTATAGGGTTTAGGCCTATTTTTTTAGTTAATATTATAATTAGGAATAAGTTATACTAGCTTTTTATCTTAGTTAGATAGAAATCTATTAGTAAGTAGATTATTATAACTATCTAGGCTATATAAAAGGATTTTCTCGGCTATTACTATAGATTTAGCTACTATAGTAGATAGAGTAGTAACTATAAAAAAGAACTAAGAGCCTTAAGAGTAAGAATAACTATAGTTATAATAAAAATAATAACCTTTATAAAAGAAATATATAAAACTATAGCTAATTCTTTAGATTATACTACTAAATAGGCCTTTGAAGATATAGATTAAGGAGAAAGAGATCTAAATAGCTCCTCTTAAGCTAAATCTTCTCTAATAGATTTAGCTTTATTACTATTTATATATAATTCTACTAATAGAGATATAATAGAAAAAATAGAGATAAAATAAAAAAGATAGATTAAAAGATAGAAAAATATATAATACTAGAGGATTATAGAAGATTATTATAGAAATATAAAAGATTTAGCTAATACTAGGGGATATAGGAATTACCCTATATAACTAATAATATACTTATCTACCTTTATTAATATTAAACCTAGCTATTTTGGCGTTTGCCTCGTCTCTGTAACGGCAAAAGATGCCCGCCCTTCGAGACGCCGAGCTGTTTACGTGGCTTACGTGGCGGCCCTCTAAGGAGAGGGCGAAGGAGTATGAAGGGAGTAATGACGTGCCTCTAACTTCGTATGAGGAGGAGACGGTTATGTTCCGATGGGGGGTGAGATACGAGGCGCCTGCCGTTAGAGGAGATGGGAAAGGAAAAGTGACGTGGTAGGTCGGTGAGGACTGGAGGCCGGAGGACGGAGTCATTAAGGCGTTTGAGGATCTTGTGGGCGGAGACGGGGAGAACATGGAGTGGAAAGCGTTTGAGTTTGTGGAAGAGAGGGAGCAGGATCCGGGGGACTATATCTGATTCTCATCAGATTAATGCACAGAATTAACAATCCTGGCCAGTAGACCACACTCGAATCTCAAATTCAATCAACGAAGGGCCGATAATCGCGCTCACCGCTACCGATAAGCAGAAAAGAAGATATAGCCAACTTCTTCAATCGATTCTTGTCTATATACTCCCCCTGTATGGTTAAACTTGTTACTACCTCGCTAGTAACCAGCAGCATTACTCACCCCCCTCCTCGTACTAAGCACTAACACCAATATAACGCCTCCCCCAACCAATAATTCGTCTTTTATTAATAATCCAGATGTGTTCCTATGTCCGATGGGATGCGAGGGTAGGCTGTTGCGACATGTTATATCTTCATGCCTAGCATGGTCAAAAGATTGTTTACTTAGACCTCTTATCATGGTTGGCTTAAGCTAGAATACTAGGCGAGAAAATAATTAAAACTCACCCTGGCCTTGTGGCTCGTACGGTCCTGCCGGAGTCTACGCAAAACATAGGAGTTGTATATAACGCCGAGGTGTTAAAGGCGTTAGAGTGCGATTTATTGTAAGACGCCTAGTAGCGCCCATTCTAATTAATAATAAAGGGGGTTATCTGAGTTCGGGTATTATTTTCTAGCATAAGTTATTTAGTATTATCGGACTCACGCTTTAGTGTTCGGTATACGTCGGAAATTCTTAGTGTGCTTCGTGCTGTATGTTACCCGGTGCTCCTAGAATCCGGCCTAGCTAAGGGCCGCGAACCCTTTTTTATCCTGGCCCCTCGGACCCGTTTTCCTGAGTAGTGGTAGATCAGCCGGAAGCCGGAAGGCTTACCTTAGTGGTACTGCGACGGTGGATCAGGTTTCGTGGCCAGGATTGCTCTATATCAGTAAGGCCTACGGTGCTATAATCTAGCTTTTAGGAGGATCACGCGAAATGCCTATTATATTAGAGCTACTAGGGAAGCGTATAATTTCCAGATCTAGCTCAGAGACCGATCTCAACCGACCAGGATGCCGCCTAAGATCACCGCTAGTGTATCATCGAAACGCACTTTAGCATAGCTTCAATGAAACGAGCATATCTTGTGGGTCAGGGTGATATATGGTCGGATGACAATACCTGCTTAGAGCTTTAACGGCTCCAATTTTATGGGAGATATTCGGTGGATAGGAATTCATATTGGGATCATCCTGGGTTCCAGCATAAGTCACTCTGTGCTATCTCCCGCGTTGCTTAATACGGATATCCTAAGACTTACTTTACGTCTTCTGGTATCCACTCACCCTAACTGCCAGCCTCGAATAGAGCTGATTATGCTATTTTACAGCGCCACCGTAAAATACCGCTAATGCGGTCGATGATTAGCCATCATATCTTTAACTTCTTATCTTTGGTCTAGATCCACTGGGCCGAGCTGTGGGTCAGGAAGCACGATAGCTTTGCGGATCCAATGGAAGACTATAGGATATAGGAATGCTGGATATGATAGATTACAGGCCCTTCGGTTACTGAAAAATACAATTCCAGCTCAATTATCCTCTCTCCCCCAGCTACGTCATTGCTCTATACGAATGAGTCACACAGATACGTCGTATATAAAGGGAAGCCGTGAGGAGATTTCCGAGAACTATTCGAAGCTCTTCAAGTATCGATCATCCAAGTTAATAAGCTTCTCTCCCGACCACGCGTGAATTTGAGACAATGAGCTCTGTGCTCCCTAACAAGCCACCCTCTGAGCCCGTTATGGTGAGGCTGGAAGACGTCGACATACCTGTGCCTGCTCTTCAAAAAGAGAACCCGAGATCGACCGGTTCAGCGCTGGCTTTATCATTCTTCGCTAAGACCTAGTCAATTTATCTAATCAACAGGCTCTTCTCATTCAGCGTGGACGCTACGGATTATGGGATGAGAGCTGGGAGGGCCCGGGAGGTGGATATGAGCTTGGTAAAGATGCTACTATGAAGTACACTGCTTTACGTGAGACGAAAGAGGAAACTGGCGTGGTTGTTCCACCGGAAGCCATTTTTCCGCTTGTATACAGAGGAACATTCGAGCACAAGGGCCTGCGGATGGTTTATTACACATCAGTTACGCAGCTTGGTGCCAAGGTTCCCGTTACTGTTACATGAGAACATTGCCTGGGGGTTCTTCGACGAGGAAGCCGTCCGGAATTTCGGACCCTTTGACAAGGAGAAGAGTCGGCAAGTGAAACATGTCATGCTTGAAGCAAAAATAGAGCACTTTGTCATACCTTCATAAACAGAGAAAGACTAGGGATGGTGATAAGGAGAGAATCATGTCCGTGAATATCTAGTGGTAATGATAACGGTGGAGTCCTGTATCATGTTGTGTGGATGTGTCTGTTGAGTATTTCGTACAGTACGGGATTTGGCCGGGGTACGCTATATAAGCCCGGGTTATTGCTGAAAATGGACTTTTCCGTTATGTATGATAAAACAGAAGAAGCTAATAGTTTCTGGAGTTTAATGTCCTGGAATGTACGATAAACTAGGTGGGCACTAGATTAGTCGTGCGGACACCTTCTTGGGGTTTTAATCTGCCTTCGGAAGCAGAAAATTATGGCGTAAGTAATGACTTAGATCCTTCATGGTTAAGGAAAATGATAGGGTCAGCTTGTCAATAGTGAACTGTACAGTAAGTCTTTCTTCACGTGTTCGAAAACTGATTCGTTAACAGCAGAACAGCACCAGTGACCCTTTTTCAGGACCCGATATATCGAGAGCTTACTATATTGCCGGTTGACCAACAGCTAAATAATTTCGTTTATACTTTTCAGAACTTTGTGCCTGATAACACAAAGGAACTAATTATCTAAAACAGTCTTTAAGACCGTTTACTAGTTATTTATCCTCTCCAACGTTTAGGTCTCTCACCGAAGGCGTAATTAATTCCCTCGGCTTGCTTCCTAAAAAACAAGCTAACTATCTTAGCCTCAACATACTACTTTATCTGTGGAACATGAATGATAAATTTCCCTTGCACACGTGGCTATTCGAAGCCACTTATTAAAACATTTCTTCTTAGACTTAAGAGCCAGCGAAGCGTCTGCCTCTTCTAAAGCATTCGACGTTATCTTCAGCACAACCAAATATGCGCTCATTTCTCTACGTCATCCTAGCCTTTCCTCCGTTCATAGGCGCATTTCCGGAAGCGGATCTTGTTTTCCCCGGGTTTCATAATCAAAAGTTGCAAGCAGGGATCCTGAGTGAGGTAGTTTCTATTTCCTATTTAAAGGGTATGAGTCTCAACTAAGTTATAAAGGGAGAAAAGCACGAGAACCTACCTAGTAACTTTTTTGGAAACTGGAGAAATAGCAAATTCTAAGGCTAGGCAGAACACTATAACTGCATCTCCGCGCCGGATTCTTTTTAACTAATAAGCGCCGTCAACAAAAAAAGGTAAACCCTGTTATTTCTTTTTTGCACAAAAGTCTGACTCCAGTAACGACGAACTGCTCTATTATCCTGTGATATCTTATCAACTACGGCTGCGTCTTGTCATACTAGTGTTAGGGAGCTCCAAGTTCGTGGAACACTAAAATAAAAAGACCTTAACTGGACACCGGTGCCTATCACAACTTTATATAAGAATCGCAAGAACAATAGTGACGCCACATCGTCTTCTTCATACATATCAGCTGCTAGGGAAACCGCCTTTTCTTAATGTATATCATCAAACATACTGCCTGCTCTCAACGAACCGTATTCAAACGAGAGAAAGAGTTCGAATGATTCAGTTCTTCTCAACGCTTTACGTTTGGTAAGTGTGAAATCATTCCAAGACGAAGAGGCATCTAGGACATTTATGACTGAAGTTTTATACACAAGCGGTTTTGCTATGTTGATGTTTGCCTACCTTCTTTTCTGAACCACCGCATTCACTTTTCGAGAGAACTCCCGTTTCCTGTCTCAGCATTTATATATACGCGGTGATGGTTTCGCCACCCAGGCAAGGAAGAAAACTATATCCAAGCAGAGGCTTTCAGTCGAATAGTTTCTTTTCTGCATTCTCTTTAACCGATCAATACTAAACATACATATGTTTAACCAACCTACTTATAAGCGGATCTAATCAGTTCTGGCAACTTTTCCATTTCTTCACATATAATCTAATGGTAGCAATCATATGGCTAGTTCTTAGGAATAACCTAAAGTGACGTTAAGTCTAACCGGGCTAGGTGTAATGTTACCCCTAATCCCGCCCTTGTAGAATTCTCTTGTGTGTAAGCGTTATTGACGGCTGCAGCATTGGCAGTGATTGATGACTAAGTCTGAGTGAGCACATCGCATATTCTCATTCCATGAACATGTAATCTTGCGTTTTGGGCGACCATGGCAGAGACATCAAAACTAGTCCACCTATAATTTATCACTGAGCCAAAGTCAAACTCGCCCCAAGTTGAAGCAAAAGCGCTGTATTCATCGGTTGGGATGGGTGAGTTTAGTGCAGCTTCCCAACCGCCCTGGGAGTCTTCGTTAAACGTAGTATATCGAATAGAACCGGCTTTGAGGGTGAAGGATCTGCAAGCTTTGCTAAACCAGCCTCCTGGCTTTCCATCCGGGCTAAACTTATTCTAAACCGCTACAGTCTATTCTTCCGTTTTCGAACCTTCAAACCGTGCGACGTACTTGTATTCTCTGGCGTCCGTAGTGGCTACTTTAATAATATTGCTACAGTTCGGGATGCCAATATTTCCCTGATAAGCTATTCCAGTTCTATGTGGAGGTGATTCAGAACCAAATCTAGACGTTCTGTATAAGCCTTTCGGGTGGATAGATGTCTAAACGGCTCGATAAGCAGAGGAGGTAGGCCCAAGGCTGCTCGAGGCTGCAGTCATTTCTGGGTCACAACTATATCTGGTTGAAGTGGCTAAAGCTCCGATGAAAGGCACGAACGTTAGGAGCCTAAGGATTTGCATTTTCGAACTTATATTGAACCGTAGTTGATAGAGGGCACCTGAATATATGGTATAAGATATTAAAAAAGGCTGAAATTGTAGCAAACCCCTCTGATTGATAGTATCTCGAGGATTAATTTTTCGAAATGATTGTCAGCTGGATGACGACTTTATAGTGGTGAGTGAGCATCGCTTCTATTATATACGTCTACCTATGCGCCGACCCCCAAGAATTATTCAAGTCCGGGCGTTTTACCCTCATAAGTCGAGCTTGAGCAAACTGTCCCAAGATATCGGCTTAATTGTTGTAAAGAATATACTTGCTTTACCACTTTCCCCTCCCTCGGGAGGAATTAATGGAGCGTCTGCAAACCCTAAGGTTGTGCCGCCCGAAAATGACCTCAATTATAGAATTTCAACCACCTTATTAACTTTCTAGATAACCAGGTGATTAAATACTTTATATTCTCTTTAATGGTAACAAGCATCTTATTCACCGTTTTTCGCCCCGTAAACATTACTTTCTACCCGTATAGACATGTTTGTCACCGCTTAAACGTTTAAACGTTCGCTGGAATGTTCTGTTTATTACGCAATTCGAATACGGAACGATATCGAGCAAGTCGACAATAGTCAACGCGAGCGAGCGCGATTATAGTAAGAGGATAGTGAATCCCAGAGAAGCAGCCTTTGTTAATTTAATTCAATAGGGTTGCTTACCTAACCTCATGCTTTTAGAACTGACAGCCGAATCCCGCAATAAAGTAAGTTCCCCTTTCTGCGACTGGATAATGATAGGTATTCAATATTATAGTTCTTAGTCTGGCGCCGGGCCTTAGAAGAGATTACAGATTACTTACAGATGGAGTGAACTGTATTGAAGGTTTCGCGGCTTAAGCAGTGCTCGATTTACATCGCCTATGTCTTCTATAGTATGTTAGGGTTATTTAGCCCTGTTTTTCGATTATGGGTTTTCAAACAGAGATAATTCATATCGGTATATATTCCTAAACTTCAGGACATAGAGTCAGGAAAAAGGAGCCTAATCTGCGAAGAATTCTGTTATCTGCCCTAGACAATGTTAAAAATTGATGAGTCTGGTAACCTAGTAGCAATAAGGAACCCGTAACTACCGTAGGCGCCTCCAGCTCTGATTAGATTGAACGAGGCATCTGATTTTGAGCCGCGGTCGTTTTACAGAGTATCGAATATTAATAATCTTATAGGCTCAATATCCAAAACAGGAGTATCAAGAGCTTGTGCAAGATATACGGTTAGACCTGGAAATTAAGTATTATTATGTATTAAAAAGATCTTTTTGGTTCGATACGCAGCGTACTCCTGATACGGACCCGCAATTCTACGTTATTACCAGAGCGGTACATCAAACCCCTCCAAGAGAGCGCCTATAGCCAGAAAATCGACGAATTCATAGGACTAAGACGCCAAACACACTCTAATACCTATTATTATAAACATTACCCCGTCTAAAATCCGGAATGTTTGATAAACCCTTGTCGATAACATGTTAAGTGAGAACACGGTGCCACATACCAATTTTAATTCTGCCGACTAGGTAAATACAGCATTCATATTATGGGAGCCGTGGAGGGACGAGCATTCTTATGATCGCGAAACTTTTGGCAGTGATAGCTATATAAACAGGCTTCAGCCCGGTCTTATTGATGGCTTTCATCGAGGTTCCCTTATAGGTAAGCAATTGCGGAATAAGTGGCTCTTGACCAGAGCTTGCTGTATAGTTAAAGGGACCTGTCCACAGCCATCTAGAATATTGAAATCTGCGCCATGGAATACTAAAAGCTCAAGGACGTCCTGAAATCCTAGAGCCGTAGCTAAATGGATTACAGTCATCTGTTTCTTATCTTTCCAGCTCATATTAGGCTGCGGATGAGAAAGAAGCATTTTAAGGATTTCCAAGTTTTAGGAACGAACTACATAGAATATTGGCGTACGATGATGGACGTCAACAGTGTTAACCAGAATGCGTAGATGCAGTAGAAGCCTGCTGACAAGTACAGTACTACTATATTTAGCAGCCCGTATCAGAGCCAGACTATTCTTATATCCTACGATGAAATCATCCAGTTGGGACAGGAAGATAGAGGAAGCATAAAAATTAACACGGACAAGGGAGAGCAGGTCTCTTAGATTGTTAAGCTGGGCTCCGACTAAGAGAAGTAATTCCACCGG